ATTCAACATGTTAGCATTGTTTAAGTATATAGCCTATACATAAAAAACAAAAACACTGACAATGCAATAAATAATTTTCTTATTATAATTTCAAAGATTTTCGCTTTAAATATTGGACATAACTTTTTATCACACTTTTTAACTTTTACGGCTCATACAACCCTAAATGCCGTTTATTTGACTGCCGAGTATTTAAAGAGACGCGCACCTGTAATTACAGAGAATTCAATCTGCTGTCGACGAGAGCATTGCAGCAGGCGGTTAGGGAGGAGACGACGGTATGTGAAAGACTGAATCTCCTGTTGGACGTCCTGGTAGCGCACAGAATACTGTGCGAGAGGCACGAACGCGGCGTTAGCGCCGATCATCAGCGTGCGCTGTCCACGATGCTGACCTTAAAGAAACGACAGATGCAAGGAGTGATTCGCGGCACTGATGTAAGTAAATCCTGCGTCTAACTAAGATAGGTATATATTTATCCGATGACTTAACACTCGATTCATTGTTACCGTGTCCACCGGTCATTACGTGATTATTCTGAAATTGCTCAAGGTCTTTTATGTTAATGCGAAGAGGAAAAATGTGATAGTATATAATCTCTTGTATTATCTTACATAATTTGTTCCAATTGAAAACAGCCTGATCCGTGCATTTGTCACGTTTCGGAATGTTCTGTTACTCCTTTGTTATCGCAAAAATCGACCGCGATCTTGAAAATCGACGTCACACGCTTTTCATGAGGCAAGACAATTTAATAATGATTGTTATAGTCGACGTGATCAAACATACACGTTCCTCCTAGTCAGTTTTAAGACATAATCGTTTACTTTATTGTGAATCGAAATCTAAAAGATAGGATGATCATCAAAGACAGGAATCTCTTATCAAATTTAGTTGCGCTTCGAAATGTTCTTTAGTTGCCGCAAAATCGACATATTTTTCATGAAGCAAGACAATTTAATAATCATCGTTAGAATTGACATCGTCAGAAATATTCGTCCTTCCAAGGCAATTTTAAAGCATAATATTTTTCTTTATTGCTAGAGTGATATAATTGGCTATCTGCAAAATACAGGGATATCTTATCAAACCTCATTTTGTTTCAAAATGTTGTGTTCTTTCGTTACCGCAAAATAATGATCGTTACAGTCGACGTTGTGAAAAATACACGTTCTTCCTAGGCAATTTGAAGACAATATTTTCCTTTATTGCTAGAGTGATACGGTCGAGTATTTGGAAAATAGGATGGTCGCGCAGGAATCAGTGATTGCTAACGTCGAATTGCGAAATTGCTTCTCGTTGCACTGTCTGCATATGGAAACACAGCTCGTCCACGCGCACTTGGAAATACTCGCTACTGTCCTGCAGAGCCTCGTCAACGTTCAAATTCGTGGTCATTCCGAGGTAAGTTCATTTAAATGTAGAACTGGAATACTAACTGAGGATTAAGGTGAATGTCCCAGTTTCTGTTCACATTACAATTTCCACTCACTGGCTTAAGATTGCATGTAAAATTATAGAAAAAGAAAGTCAGTGAGTAGAAATTGCGATTTGAATAGAAATTGGGACATTTATTATATAACAATTTCTAATATGTTTCGAGCTATCAAAAAGTGAGCGTGGTAAGTTACAAATTTATAAAGAAAAACAATTCCTCTGTGATTCTTAATGAATATTTCAAGATAAAAATAATTGGAACAGCTTTCTTTGATCTGATTTGGAAATATTTAAAAATGTTGAACGTGTCATAGCTTGCCGAAGTGTGGAAGCTGATAGAGCCAACGATCATGAAGTGTTTACCGGAAAAGACGACAAGTGGATCGAACGGAGTTTCATAGCGAAACGAGAACTTTATTTGACGACTACTGTGCGAGGTAAGGCTTGGTATTTGAAAGGTAACGATGCAAGAAGCTGATTATAAAAATTGTAAGATATTCAATATAATATTCGATCGACATAGAGTATAATAATAATTTCTGACGGATGAAGGAAAGAATCAGCGTATTTAATTATTACGAAATTCAAGTGGACGTAAACGAAATGTTTCGTGTGAATTATATTCCGAAAATTTTTTAAGACATTCCTTGTTATGTACTTAACATATTTTATGAGCCGATCGATGCTCGTTAGGCGACCAGATATTATTGTATATATTAGAAGTAATCCTTTCTTTTGTAAAGAGAAACAATTTGCAATTACGAAGGCTTGTATAAAAGAAATATTAAACGACTGTAAATAATTTGTTTACCGAACTATTGCTTTTTTATACGAGTTAGAAGTCTGACGTGTGTTAAACGTGATTCACCATGTTGACCGTGGATATTTGGAATATTTTACATCCATTTATACACAACACTCGCCCTTGCGTAATGGTAAGAAAACATATTGTTATTACGTAATTCTATCCTTATTTCTGTGTTCCCGTTTTCAATTAAAAAATTCGTTTATTGATAAATTTTGTATAAACACGAAGTGTGGAAGGATGTACGAATCAGGAACTGTAAAGGACGAAATACAATTTTTGTTTTGGAATAAAACATTTCTTATCGCCTTCAATTAACAGAATAAACATTCGCAAACGATATCCTTATTTGCGTTCCGTGTATAATTTAATTGCGAGATATGTTATCTTAAGTTAAATACATATAATTTATTTCCAATTTTGAGATGTATTTTCGTAACGTCTATGTACCTCTCTTCTGGATGCTCGATCAGAAAATGAGTCAATGTACTAGTCAAGGTAGGGACACAGTTATTCAAAGCAGTGAATTCGTCGCCGATGCACCACAAGAAACTCACGTGATAAGAAATATCCTACGGATAATTAAACATAATTAGATATTTATTAAGATATATTATTTCATGTAAAAATCTACGTACATCGTAAAAAGGTGGTAACTCGTATTCGGCTAGAATTTTGTTAACGCCTTTTACGAACTGGGTAAGTATTCCTTTGCAGTCAGCGCATTCTATCCCAAGGAACGTGCGAGTTCTTTCCTCATTAATGTACGCCCGTACATTAATTAGCTCCAAACTAAATCGGTCTGTCTGGCTACATAATTTCTTCGTTTCCTCTACGAAGGATTCAATCCAATGAAACTTTAATATTACTGTCCTTGTTATACTAACGTGAAACTCATCAGAAAATATGTTACATTTAACCGGTACTTTATCCAATACCGAGAACATCCATGAGTCGATCGCCTCGCTAAGTTTATCTAAAGTTTCAATTGTATCAATGATATTATTCATGGAATTATGTTAGTATTCTTCAGTTCTTGGATACTAACAATTAATATAAATTAACGTAGCCCAGTTACCACGTTCGTGTTTAAAGCTTCTTGTCCTTCCGTCATGTTGTGAAGGATCGTCTTCTACTTCTTCGTGATGTGGGACACCTTTCCAAGATGCAATGATTCCAGGTAAAGGTAATCTACAAAGTAATCAGTGTTTATTGCTTTAACATTTTTATGGTCACAATAGATGAAAATTAAGTACATATGAGTGAAATTATGTACCGGTCAACATTTTGATTAGATGTTTCGTTGTTAACTTCATCGTCCTCAGAATCCGAAGTATAAGCACTCAACAAATCCAAGCCTGACATAATTTACAGACCTGTTCCTCTCATTCTTTCGGGAGTTGTAGATCGAATATGTTTCAAGGACTTTCTCTATTATTGCGTGGTACATGGATATTCACTTCAATCTTTTACCTCCTCAGTGTTAATATCAATTCCTTGTTTGAAATATAAACACGAGATATTGACTAAAGGTACTTTTTTAAAGATTTCGAAGCCAATTGAATATGTATAAGAAAAATGATGTTAATAATTATTCAAATTATGATTATTACATTCTTTTTCAATTGAATCTTTCGTCTAACATCGCTACGCAGGTATGAGGTTAGAAAAATAGGCATTCTCGTACCTTGCACAATTTTGTTGAAAACATTCGAGTCGTGCTTCGAGTTTTGAAGATTTTTTTTGGGTCGTTAGAAAGTACAAAACCTGAATTTTCAGAATCTTCTCTTTTAATACGATTTACATTGTTTATAGAAAAGAATCGTAATATTAGTGCTGGAATTCGTATAACTGAATTATGATTCCAATCAATGAATACGCAGGGCCGGCTTAAAGTGAGGCGAGATCTGTTCTTTCAGATGTCTGATTTAATTATTACGTCTTTATAACTTATTCGAAAATCGAGATTCATAAAACGAATTATCATAAATCGCGTCCTAATTTCTAATCATTGATTTCAATAATTTTACGTTATCTTAAAATACAAAAAAATAAGTCAATGATGAGAAATCAGGACATTTACCTTACTTGAGGTAAAATTAACATTTTTGTATGAGTTTTAAAAATAATAAGGCTGGCATAAGCACGAGATAGATTACATGTCTAATATATTTACAGATATATACAAGGCTATATTACAAGTTTGCTTTTATTATTCTATGTACGTTATTTTAAACGAATTTACTTATTCACTAAAGTCTTCTTCATCACTGAAATACTGATTCCTTTTATATCTCTTGCCTGGCTTTTGAGCTGGCTGATTTTCTTCTTCATACCTTCTATTGCCTTCCAATTCCTTTTGTCTTTGCTAAAATATATGATTTTGTTACGAATTCGAATCATACTCAAGTGAGCTTATATGTTACCTCTAATGCAATGGCAGCACTAAGTGTTTCTACTTCTTCATCCCAATTTTCTTCAACTCCTTCGTCATCGCTTGCTCTATTAAGATCATTCGCTTGGTGATCACCACCCTTATGCTTTTTCCGGTTCCTGATTTTTTTTAATGGAGGGTTTCTAGGTCCCAATGTATTGTTCTTACATTTGTATGATAAATGGCCCTCTTCTCCACATTCGTAACATTGAGATTTGTTTGGATAATCTCGCCTACGTATGAATTCGGTGCTTCTCCCATTATCCATCGCAATAGAACTCTTTACTGTTCGACCACCTATCTGTTGGAAATTTATGATAATTAACACGATAATGAATATTATTGTATATAAAAATAGTACCTGTGTATCATTTAAACTCTTCGCACAAGTAAAAGCATCCTCAGGCGTGAGAAATAATACGAATGCAACCCCACGACTTTTCCTTGTGACTTTGTCTTTCATTATTGTTACCCTTTAAACAAATGATAGTAAAGAAAATTATATATTTGATTAAGGAAATTTCAACCAATTCCTATTCCTAAGCCATGCAAAAGTAGAACACATATACTTACTTTACAATTTTTCCATAATTCTGTAAAAGTTGATGTATGTCATTGTTTGTTAAAGAAAAAGGTAAATTCGAAATGTAGACTGTGGATTTACTAGGCACGATTCCTCCACTCATTATTTATGTCAGTAATAAATTGTCCCAGAGGTCTGTTTAAACGTCAAGTAAATAATGTCAACTTTATAGTTTATACTCATATAACCTACTACACATATTATATGAGAATGCTCACGTCTGAGATTTCGTGATTTCTGTACAAGTGCGCCATCAAAAGGCTATTGGTAGCACCGAGGAGAGATTACCATCAGAGAGGAAAGTCGTTCGTACGCGTTCGAGCGGTAGTCATTCGAACATGGCTTGGACTGGACGGACAATATATTTTATTTTTCTCTGTCCAGTTTGTGGTTCTTACATTTAAATTTCATTATTTATTTTATTACATCTAATTGTTTATATTGGACCTGTAATAGTGACCACACTTTATGCAAAGTCATATGTTCACTAATGCAATTGAAGAATCGAAATGCAAACATATAAGCATTTTTCAAACATTATCAATTGTATTTTGCATTTCTTTGCTTATTAGATGCTTCCTGCGTTTCTTTCGATCGTGTAAAATTCCCACACATGCAGGAACGTCCGTGCTCGTTTCTCTACTGGAAAAAAATAATAAAGAAGGAGAATAATAAAGAAAGAAAATGTTCTTCGCTTGCAGGTAGTTTGGTAAGTAGGTAGTAGAGCGCAGATAAGAAATATTAAGTGAAATGCAGAAATTCATAAGATATCATATGCCTTGTTCAACTGATAATTTTCACAACTAATTTCTGTACCTAGAAAACAAGGGGTAGTCCTTTAGAAATTCTGTCGTTCAACCATGAATAATACGTTTTGCTACAGTAGTGTCGTTTTTCTAAATTGTTTATTGTCAATTTTTTTTTCTATTCGCTTACATAGACGAACGTAACAGTAATTGGAAATATCGTAGTCTACAATAAGAATAAAATAAATACATACAAAATTTCGTATATACAAAAGGCTCGTTGCTTCGAGTTCTACGTTACTTTCATTCGTTACGTTAAATTACTTTAGACTATTTATATATATATATACCAGATCTAGTATCTCTTAAACTACGTATTGTAATGTCTTGATACGTCTGATAATGTACACAGGTAGATAACGAGCTACTTTCTTACGGAAGTCTTATGCATTTCCCCATTTTTCGATGTATAAAAAATATTATCAAGATCAGTCTTGCGAGACACTGACTAAGAATTAATCAGCCTACTTTACTGATTCGAAGGGCGGCAAGTAAAACACGTATATGTATAAAAGAAAGCATTTTACTTAACGCTCACAGAGTTAAGGTTGAATTTATTATTCCCGGTGATCACAGTCAATCGATTATTGATTGAAACGTCGATCCATGGATAAAAAGTGCACGTACATCTCAAAATGGTAAATCAAGATTCCTTCGCAATTCGCTATAAATCTTAATAAAAAAGATCTTTATACAATAGAAAACGTTACGGTTATCGCTAAGTAGACACAGACTCTGTTATAGTTGTATCTCGTATCGCTACATTTCCGATCGAACTCTTTTCTCTATAAGTCGCTCTGTTTTCTGCGCTCTCTCTTCTCACACTACAAAATGGCACATCTCTCTCTCTCTAGAATTATCAATTCTAATCCTCAGTCGAGTCCTTCACCGACGTCTAACTAACATCTCTATTGTTTGAAAAACCGGTATGTATCTTCTTCTTTTCTCTAACTGCCATCGTTCAGCAGCTCAGTAAAAACGATCACCAGCTACCTAGTAGCCATTTAAAGTCAGTATTGAGGATTCGGTGAATTCCTCTGAAAGCTGTTCTGTTGGTTCTGTTGCAACGGCCCAGCTGGGCTGGGTCTTCCCTGATCGCGGTACTGAGGAGGACCAGGTGGACCGTTCGGTGGTCCCGTTGTTCCAGGCGGTGGTCCAGGCACCTTTCCATAGTTCCCTCGCGTCGAACCCTGATAACTACCATAAGCAGAATCATCGCTGCGTCTGGAAATATGCCCGTACATGCTTTCCGGTCTTCGAGAGTTCGCAACGTTCTCCGTGTTAGCCACTATCGTTCCGTTCTGATGCTGTTGCTGTTGTTGCTGCTGCTGCTGTTGCTGTTGTTGTTGCTGCTGTTGTTGTTGCTGATGATGAGTCTGCGTAGAAGTCTGTACGTTCGGACCGGACGGTTGCGAGTTCTGACTCGGCGGCGGAGCCGGAGCGCGTCCATATATGCTAGTACCCGTAGATACGCCGTAAATTCCGTTCTCCCTCGTGCTAAGACTCGTCGAGATTCCTCTGATACCGTAAATACTTTGCGTGCACTGTTGCAACTGATTCTGCATATTCTGATTTGTACTACTGTGATTCTGAGCCGGATTCGGGCCAGCAGGACCGTTCTGTTGCTGGCTATCTCTGCCCGAGTTCGATCCCGCTTGCCCTATTCTAATCGGATACAGACTCTGCGCGGGGACCAGCGGACCTGGTTTCGGGATCATAAGACCGTCTCGGGTGCCGGTAGTCGATTTCGCATATACGCTCTGTGAACGATTCAAATTCGCCCTGGTGAGTGGCGGTGATTTGCAATAGAGAGACTTAGTCCCGCCGTAGATGGACTCTACGCGTTCCAACGCGGTCGGTGGCGCGCTGTAGATTGACGAGGATGCTCCGGCCACTGGACGGTAGGTCGCGTACGCACTGGGGAACTTTGGCCCGGTCGGTTTGTCAAGATCGTCGTAGGTGTCCTCGTCGGATCTCATCGATGAATTATCGCCGTCGTCCATGTCGCGCGAATCCCTGGACCGTTTCGAATTTAAGACGTACTCGTGGAGAAGAGCTGCGATTGCGCTTCCGGACAGGGGGCCCACCCAGTAAACCCAGTGGTTCTCCCAGCGGTTGCTAACGAACGCTGGTCCTAACGCTCGGGCAGGGTTCAAGAAAGGACTCTGCAACATTATACAGAATTATTATTTAGTAGAGTTATTAATACCACGGGAAGCAATTATTGAGTTGTCCGGAAAATTCGTGTCGATTTTTGTAGAAAATTCATAAACGCATTTAAATGTTTAATGTAAAGTTTGTTGCAGGTCGGTGATGTTTTTTTTATTCAGAACAGACACTCTTTGGAATAAAATTGATTGGAATTCGAAACGTAATAACTACGATTTTTGCTTCACTTCGTAACACCTTATTAAATATCGACAGAGAAATTTTTTTAAAGATATCTGAGATATTACGTTTTAGAATATACAAACACATATTCTGATGTACCCAGACCTGTTCTAATCCAGTTATCAAAAATCGGAATAAACTCTTCGGATAACTCAGTAATTAACTCTCTTTAGATTCGCTTAAATATAATAATGCTTTTAAAATCCGCAGTGAATGGAAATGATACGAAATGGTTCGCATTAACAAACAGGATTCTCTCTCTTTCTATCTCGAATTCTTGTTTTCTCCTGCACCGAGACACGGTGTTCTTGAATTTTTCGCTTTCGGGTGCATTGTACACGCGTTCCGGAGCAGGTGGGACCGAGATCGAGCTGCTTCTTTTTCTTTCCGCCTCTTTGTCTTACGCTCGCCGTCTCTCCCTCTTCGCTAAAACTGCAGGTGCTGTTTAAAGACGCGGTCCTCGATCTGATCCAAAGGAGATCGAAGGATGCTTTGGATAGGCTGTTTGCGTACGAGCATTCGAGGAGAGAGAGAGAGATATCGACTGCCTCTTTAGATATGTTCTTATCGTATGAATATTTTCAATCGAAAAACAGTTCGTAATTGAATCGTTTACAAAATACTGACCGAGACTAAAGTAGCTGCCGTGTACGCCGCGACCAGCACCCCGGCTGGTCTCGAAAACATTGGCAATGATTTCAATGATTCCGTGGTGAAATGAGCCAGGATTATCAGAACGGAGAGCACTAATTCTACTAGGAGCTTCTCAATTGATCCAACGAGGCGCCCTGGCGAAGTTAACGTCTGCGTGTTCGACGGTGTAGTCACTCTGTAACAGAATTTTAATTTCATAAGGAAACGACGAAAATGTATACTTAATTAGTTTCATGACTGAAATGAATGTAGAGTAAGAGTAAATTCAATTGGGGTGTAGCAAGTGGCGATAAAAATGAATTATCGATCGGTTTTTCGAAACGGTCACCGCATATGGTGCGCCGCGGTGTAATATACGATGATTTTCCTATTGAGGATTACCGCGACAACGGCACCCCGGATAAGAGCCCCCCGTGGCAAGTCGGTCCCAGCGGTGTAATGTTTATATTAGCCGGTGCATCGTCGTGCCCCAGGACTCGTAGCCCCCTTATTGCCCCGATCCTTTCGCAGTGCCTCGTTAATTTTCTCAGTCTCGTACAATCACACGGGGTCGCAGGCACGCGTGACCCTTTTTGTATTTTATCCGATGGCCACGTGCGATAGTAGACATTAAATACACGGTCTCACGGAGGACCGGACTTTGTAGTAATTTATGAATGATTGATAACGCAACGCAATTACAATATTCTTTGGGTATGTGAAAAGGTTGTAGAATTTAAATGTGACTTTTTTACCCAAACGACTCAAAGTTCTCTCGCTTGGAATCGGCGAAACGATTAATTTTACGTCACTCTGTACAGTTCCAATTTTTTTTTAATGACTGCTTAAAATAATGCTAATATAATGACAGCTGAGTATTTCTTTCTACTTTCTTTAAAATATTCATCATATTTTTAATAATTCATTTTTTACATATTTCATCAATTAAATCAAATCAAATTTCACAAAACACATCAATCAAATTAAATGTTTAATAATTATTTTGTCACATTGCAATTAAAATATACCTTTTAACGCGAGTATAGTTGCACAACGAAATCAGAGGATTATTTAGAACTTTTATGAAAATTGTATAACCGGGAGAATCAAATTCACGATTGACTTGTCCAACAGATGTAAATGCAAAACTGCAATTTTTTTTTAAAAAAAGAAGAAACATCTTTGGAAATGTATTTGAATGACAATTGACAAAGGATCGCAACGAAGCACCTGTGCGTTTGGAACGTGCACCCCGTAATACTAGATTAGCGACAATTTCCGAGAGAGTGCCTCTAATCTCGCGGTTAAACGCTCGTCGCCCTAAAAATCTATCGTCACGTGCGTCGGCAGAAATTCTCCCTCGCGCGGGGAGACGATGCAAATGAAAGCACCCCTTGTTTCCCTCTCGAGAGGCCTTGTGATCGTGTCACGAGAGAGTGAATTGATGAAATCAGAAATGCAGATCATGACCGCACAATTGGGATTAACTGCGGCGTACGTGTACATCGAGAGGCTGCAGAACCAGAAGAAAAAAACAGACGTTCCCATGCTCGTTTCCCTTTGCAAACGTAGAATGATAAGCGGATTCCTTTTTTGGTCTGGCAAATACTTTTCTTTAATGGAGCTAACGACGTCGGTGTAATTGAACAGGATTTGTCGAATCACTATTACTATATTTTTAATGTTGTACATTTTTCTGTGTAAGTTTTATATTCGCTGATGATCTTTGAAACACGTTTAAAGGGGTTCGAGGTACTTCGTTCCATTTCAGACCTCTTCACGAGACCCAGTTTCTCCTCAGACAGAGAGGGAACGGCTCTCTGCACCTGACTCTTTGTTAGGCGCGGACTAGGCCCCATTTTCTATACTTAAAAACCCTTCCGACGGTAAGAGTAGTAGAATAGAATCCACAAGTACGCCAAGCAATTTTACTTAAAACTTTATAACCCGCTACGTAGAAAACATGACTGCCCCAAAGTTGCCTTCTCGTAAACACATAAAAAGAAGGAATCGAATAGGGACACTTTTTTGGCCATTCGACACCGACCAGGGAACCGTCCCACGGACGAGATCTTCCCATCGTGCGGCCATCGTTTTCTCACGTTTTCCACCCGAGAAGCCACGGGTCACTCAGCCGAGACTCGTCTCGCCGTTTAATCTCGCGTACACTTGACTCGAGAGTTGCACCGAGTGCAACCTGTGCCCCATATTCGCACGGGGGAACACCCTCGGCGAGAGAGAGGGTGGGTCCAGCGAACGACACTTTAAATAAATTTCAATTCGATCCAGAATGGGTATTCGTGTGTGTGTGTGTGTGTGTATCACTTTCAGCGAGGCTCCGTCGTATTTAACGAGCTATTGATATCTTCCACCCACCGGGACGAACTCCCCTCGTACTTACACGCACGCATACGATACGCGTGCGTGCTCCCCTTTGAGCAGGAAAACCACCACATGCGTTAAAAGCGAGACGAAATCTACACGTGATTCCATTCTAAAGTCTTCGCCCTATGGGAAAGTTCACGTGGCCGGGCTCGATGTGGTTAAACCAGAAAATTAGCCCCGCGATTTAGGGTGACCGATTGTGGGAAGTTTCGCAAGAAGCTTGACCAGTCTTCCCTCACGGGACAATAATAATTTTATCGCCCGGGGTGGAGCGACACTCGCTCGCAATGGATCACGGACAGTTTTCTCGAAAACAGTGGAGTTTCCTGCGGGAACGCGATCGAGCATAGAAATCCGAGGAACGGGACAAAGCACAGGAATTCTTTGAAAGAGCGAAGCAGGTCGGTACTCAGAATTCTATCCAGCTCGCTCTGAATGAGGGATGTTTGAAAAAGGAGCCAGGAAGTGCGTATACACCCACGGCATGGATCCCTCCCCTCCGGTGTAACGTAACCGTGTACCGCGATCTCGTTTCTTTCTAACTATCCCTGTCCATCGAATGAAGGATCGACTATATTAGACTATTTAATGTTTAACTAAAGCAGATTTAATTTTTCCTGCTAATTCCTGTGCTTTATTATTTGGCGCATTATAAGGGAGTCTGCCGTATTAAATATTCTAAAAATCCTATTACAATCCTTCACCTTTTTAATGGTCATAAAAAAAATATTCGAGTGGTTTTGTTACACCAAAAGGAAGGATGAAATTTGGCGTGCAGCCGGTTCATCCGTCCGCGAGGAGATCCGCGGCGAAGGATGTCTGGGTTCGAGAAAGAATCCTATTGACCTGGTAGACAGCAGAACAGGATGGAAGGAACCTCGACGCGGCTACAGCTGGCTCTGAACGTCGTTGCGGATCTTCGTTCTCTATAGTATGTATATCCTATATAAATCGTGGACCGTGCCTTTCTACGATGAAACACGTGCCGGCCACATGTTGCACAAAAGGGATCCTCCAATGGTCCTTTCGAATATAGATCCGTAGTGTAAAGTCGCCGGTCACAAAGAAGCTTTAGGCGACCGTAAATGATTTCTTTCGGCCGGAGGATACGAAAAGGTGGCAGATGTTCTCCCCCAAACCACCCCCCCGCCTCCCCCCTCGTCCGTGTCTGATCGAAGATGTCGGGCCCCGCTATGTGCAGGCATTTTCTGAAGGACGAAACAGGCTCCGAAAGAAGAGAGAAATTTATGACCGTTTCGACGGCTACTAAACAGCTAGAATCATCGTGGCACCGTTATTGGAATTTTTTTCACCACTACTCGATTTTCATCGAATGCACTTGGAAGATATTATACAGATTCATGCTTCTTCGTGCCAGGAACTGAATACATTTTCTCTATTGAATTTGTAAAATTTTTATAATAATTCAGCCCTGCATGAACAAATAGTATAACTGGATATCCAGTCTTGAACGTGAAATGTGTTCGAAACGAGAGTGACAGGCGGACTGCATGCGCATCTAATCGCTCAAGCTGCCGACAAGGAATGGGAGGATTCTTGAGAACAAACACGTGGTTGCGACCATCTGTTGGCATACTCCACCGTTCAATCCAGACTGAGCCAGAACTTTAGCCTCTTCCCATCTCCTTCCTCCTGCATCCAAAAGTCTTAAGATGCATCAACATCCATTCCTCGACAAATGACATCAATGATCCAACGACTGTAAGCTAAATGCATTCCCTGTCTCTTCACCAAAATTGAATCCTTTAATAGAAGATTGTAATTATATCGTGAGGAGAAAAAATTGAACAGAGCGAGGGTGCAAGTTCGCTATAAAAATCTGAACACAACATGTTCGTACTTATTTTTCATCGGAGCGCAAGAAAACGCGAAATGTAAACTTTCTCAGCCTCGTAACGCGTTCAAATATTTAGTTTAAGGGACCATTGCACACGCGTTTAACACAGATTTTAAGAGGTGCGTGAAAAGCCATATGCTGCAAGCTTTTTTTTCTCGTTCTCGGCCGGAATTTATTTTTACGCCACCGCGCGAGGCCCGTATCGCGTCGCACAGGACACATCGTTGCAATGTTACCAAGGAGAAATGAAAGCAACGCGACAACGGCGCACCGTTGCGGGGCTGTAAAAGCTGGAGCAGTATCGCCGGGGATCGCTGAAACGGGCCGCTTTGTGTCCGCGGTAAAAGGTGTTCCGAGCAGGTAAAGCATTCCTACCGAGAACGGTTCTACCTGACCCACCTGGCTTTCACGATGCATTTTCGACCCGACAACAGTTTCTCTCCATATACACGATCTCTGTAAAAAGAGGGAACTAGCCGCCTAAATTTTCGACCGCGTTAAGCGAAAATGCATCGCGAATAACTTTTGACAGAGGCCGGCTTTTAGGCCACGAGCGCGATTCTCCTCTCCTCTCCACTTGCTCATGTGTCCGGTCTCTTTAATTTCTCCTAATTTTCGATTGGTCACGTTTTACCGCGGCCGAGATGATAGAGGAGGAAGCTTTCGTAGCTAATATCGTCTGCATTTGGTTGATCTACGAATTATCCTCGGGGAAAATTCGAGGTAACGTCTCAGGACGATCTGGAGTATTGAAGGAGGTCTTCGAAATCGCGGCTTAAGAACCCAATATCGAGAGCTTTCGGGAAGAGCTACGATATTGCGTATCGGAAATCCTCACCTTTGGGAAACCATTTCCATTTAAGACAGTTGTCGTTTTAATGAAAAGTGTCGGAAATTGTTTGAAACTTTGTACGAGATTAATGAAGACACCAAAGAATATCTGTGGATAATTTTTGATCGATGTCTTCATTAAAATCTAATAAGTCGCAACTGAATCTGATTTGGAAACGAGTACTCGGCTGGACGTCGTAGACAGTTTTAGAGTAGCAGGAAACTCGGTGTTTCTTTTCTGAGCATCCGGCTGGCCACGCGCGCTACGTGTGTCTTGCTTGACGTCACAACACACACCTGCTTCCTCACAGCTGTTCACCTCAGTCCGTGGTGGCAAACTCCCTTGACAAATAGCTTTATGCCTACCACCGTTCGCCTCCCTTAGCGCTAATACTGGCCTTCCACCTTCGAGGAATCTCACCCGTCGTCCGACAAACGAAAAGATCAAACACAGCTTTTCGAAGGATAATTGCTTAGGACTTGGAAGCACGACGACGACCTTACACTATTTTAACACCCTTTGCTTCAACGTCTTCAAATCGCCCGTTCAGGATATTATTGGAAAACTGACAAACATTTCTGGAAATCCTCGAGTTGCGATCTTTTTGTGTCACAAAAAAGGGGAAACAACAAGTCGGAGTATAATGGGAAAATCTTGTAACCTGTCGATGAAGCGATAGTAAATCCTTTACGGATAGTTAGACTCGCGATTCTCCCATAATCTCTCCCGGCACGTCGCGCCGTCGGTTCGGTTTACGATTTATCGGCTCTCCATTTCTTTCTTTTTTATTTATATTCCGGGTAGAAGTATCGCACTGGGAGCCCGCGCCACCCCTCGACTCACGCGAGGATACGTACTTTACAAACGCCACGCGTACACGCGGTACGTCTACGACCCGCAGTTGCAACAGATGCAGGCGTACGGTGGTCTATTTCCATCCCCTTCTCACCTTCGGCTCCTCTTTTTTTCGCTCTCTGGGGTGCACCGCGATCCCCAGAGACGCTCCTAGAAGGGATGACGTGCCGGACCGGTTAACTAGAGTATTGTTCGATTATTATTTCGGTACATATCGCGCACTTGTTATCTCTTTGTGCGGTCATATGGTGGTCCGAGGGTGGCTTCGTCGTCGATGACGGATCTGTCGTTGCATCGGCCCGTCAGGGACACTGTGGTCATCTACCACGCCGAGTAAACACGTTTTCTATTACCGAATTGAAAAGATCACCCTTCAAACAGATATCAGGTTGGAAAAATTATTCTCAAAGGGTAGGACTTCCGATAGCCGTGCGATAAGATTGTTATCTTTCTTCTATCATATGTAGTTTTTCTATTTAACTTCAAGATCACCCACTGAATTGGCCAAACATGTGGATTTACGTCAGTCGATTGTATTTCTCAATCAAGACAAAATTCGTTTTAATGTTTAGTTTGAAATACAGTCTACTGTGCTCTGATCATTATTCAATGAGATCATGTCGATATTTAATAAAGTAAGTGTGACGCATAAATCATAGTTACTATACTTTGGACTTTAAGCAATTTTGTACTGAAGAAAGATTATACTGAATAAAATAAGGAGCTTTAAACTAAACATTAAATTTATTTATCCTCTGAGAAACAAAGATGTAGTGTGGAGCAGGGTAAGTGTAAAACCGAGTAAAAAATGTCAAAAATTTACCAATAAACATTAGAGAAGTCACGTGTCCAGCCCCTTAACTCCGAGCAATGTCCCTTTTTTTAGATTCGAGTTTTTCATCAAAGTATAATAGTGACAATGACGTTTAGGGTGTATCTGGTGAACGATAAGAACTGTTACAGCTAAACCCCCTCCGATCCCAGATGAAATTTTACGGGGACAGTTCGATGTGCTACAGGGGCGTTCCTCGGTTCTACGACCCTCATGATGCCCCCATGAAATCGAGGATTGCAACCTGCACGTGAACCTGCGTCTCCATGCACAGGTTGACGTCCGCGTAACGAACGTGTAACAATTTTCGGAAATAAAACCTCCACATTCTTTTACATGATCGAAACGTTGAAGAATCACTGTAGAATGCATTAGCATTATTTTCATTGTTGCATTTGCGAAAGTATTCCCTCCAGTTAGGAGGGCCATGGCAAGTGACCAGAGGATCGACGGTGAGTAAGACTAAAAAGAACGCGAGGCGAAAACGAAGAAGACAGTCGGAGAAAGGGAGGACAATGATCCTTAGGAAACGAAGGGAACATCTGCTCGTGGGCCCCGGATCGCAGCGTGTCCTCCTTCAATGAGAGGCGATCGCCGTCGTGAAACTTGTCCCACCTCGGCCGCGCATAGGTATTCATTATCCTCGTCTCTGGTACGCGTTCGATCCTTCTTCCGCGCGGCGGATCTTTTTTGGTCCACGGGAACATCTGCGGCAGCTGCGAGGCGGTGGGCCCTGCCGCGGAACCGAGAGGCAGGTGCTCACCTTCGAAGAAGCTGTCCCTCCGCCTCCCCCGGCCCCGCCAATTACGCGTGCCTCTTTCTGCCGCTGCGTCTACTCTCTTTTCCGTATCCCCAATCTTGCGTCTATCGCCTTTCCTTTGTTTATAATACCCCGTTGGATTATCGATTTATCTATAATTAAATGGATCGAGGAGGTGGGCTGATTGAATGGATAAGAATTAGGAATGGAGAGAATTAGATGGGAGAAAGACACGAGTAAGAAGACGAGGGATAGACTAGAATAAAGAGTATAATTGGAAATGAGGACCAAAATGTATGAGAGAGAAGGAGCAGCGAGAGAGAGAGAAACGGAGAGACTAGTAAATGAATAAAGGGTAGAGAGAAGAATAAATAGTGAAGATATACAAAATAAAGAGAAAGTCGTTCTTCGATTAATTTGATATGTAATCTATAGAATAGATGTTCCCTCTGAATTCTTTTTCATCGCTAAGGAAGTAGCGATTTGATATAAATGACGGGATACCCCCGAAGAGGCCACACGTTTCCTCTTCATTTTTTTCTCGCCATCTCAGAGCGGCCCGAGATTCTTTAACCACGGGCGAAATCGAGGCACGTGGACGCGCAGGAGTTGCTCGTCGCTCTTCTCTCTCTCTCTCTCTCTTTACCCATCCCGTCCAATCGAGGAAAAAGAAAGATATTCTGGCAGCGTGCTGCCGATCATCTCTTCGGGCAACGGAAACTCGCAGCACCGTGAATTATAGGCCTTCCACGCTGGTTTTATGAATTAATAACATCCGATACGCTGATGAAAATATAATAGCGAGCCGGAAAGATTCGAAAATCGCGGCTAACGGAGAAATGTATTTCGTCGAAAAATATTTCGAACAAATCGAAATGAAAATCTGATCATTTGGAGGATATTCAATTCTTATAACATATCACAGAAGTTATAAAATTCTTAAAGGGCTATAATTCTTTTAATGCTCGGTCGGTCAGTTTCTTCGCTTCGTACATACGCGGCTCCCTGACCGAATATGACCCGAGTCCCTGGGCAATAACTTCGGGTTCGTTCCAGGTTTACCGGGTAGTTTTACGTGACGTACGAAGCGTATGTACTCGTAAAACGAGAAATACAGCGAGGGCGTCCCTCTTTACCGGATACGTGAGAGATTTACGAAAGAGATACGGTTATTTATCCTGCGTGTTTGCGTTCCGCGATTACGCGGGAAGGCATACAAGCCTCTAATCGGCCACCGTCGAGTTACAAAACGTAGACCGATCTTGAAGAACCTCCCTTGTACCGCGAGACCGTCTGTTTATCCTTCCCGTAAAAAGTGTCTATGTATATAGGCTGATCCCAGGGAGGTTCTAAAAGTGGTTGAGACATTTTTGAGGGACGGAGCAGCTGCCCCCTCGGCGCTCGTATCTCACATTTTTTTTTTTTCTACGCCGAAAGACTTCCGTACGTATAAACACTTGGGGACGTTTCTTTTCGTTTAAAAATGTAATACGTACATTCAACGCCTTTCTGTACGGAGCCTTAGATGGTTAAATTTTCACGAACAGACGGAACGCAAAGGGACAAGCTTCGACAATTGTTAGGCGACTGTTTCTTTTTGCTTAAACGGGATTACTCACCCGTACAGCATCGCAGCACCGGCTATGCCACCTCCACACTGCGCCGCGATGTAGAGAGCCGCTCGTAGGAGAGAGATCCGCCGACACAGGGCGAAAGATACCGAGACAGCTGGGTTCACGTGGCCACCTGCATGTTAAGCGTTTTAATAAGATTACGTGTTTCGGCTAAGCGTTCATCGACTCCTCGTAAGACGACGTTAATAACATGAAGAATTTAATAAATAAGACAGGAAAATTGCTACTGTAATTAAAGTGTTTTTTAAATATTGTAACAAATTCCTCCTGAGTACTGTAACGTCGCGTTTCAATTCGTTAGAAGAGGAATGAAGATCATTTCGCTTAACCGAGGAACTTTAAATTAATATATAAGCACGTTACACGTCGTGCGCATGAATCATGTGACACAGCATCCAGGGCACGATCTAGCACACGATCTGATTGGCGCGTGGTGCGCTCTGTTTCTATCAGCCGCTATAATCGCTTAACGAGCCAATAGAGAAAGATGAGTACCGAGTGCGAACGGTGATATCTACCGCGTTCTATGTTCAGTAAAATGATCACCAGTTCCAAGAGAGGCATTAATATATCGATTAACGTGATTGAAGAAACTTACCACTAATGTGGCCGAAGATCAGCCAGACCGCTGCGATCGCGAATCCGGATGCGATCGCGGTAGCTAGGACCGAGAGGCCGCTTCCGGAAACCGCGGAGGAGGCCGCCGCGCCGGATACCATTAAACTGAAGAGGAAAGTGGCGAAACATTCGACGGCGACTGCTCGCCACAGTTCCAAGCTGCGTGCCTCTATCGACATGGGCACTTTCTTCTCCGCCAACTCCGCGTTGTTCTCCTTTAACGCGGCGATCCTCGTGAGCAGCGTCACGATCTGAGCGTCTATTTCTCTCTGCAACGTCTCCGTAGTCATTTTTCCTTGCGACGTTGTTCCAAACTCGAACGAAGTGAAGCGTCGATTGTTGTAACTTCTATTTCGTGTTTTCTAAAGCATTCTCTTGTATCACTTGAGGAATGCACCGGCGGACTGGCACTCGATGGACACTTATTTTTTCACGAGGATCGACCGGGGTTTTACGAGTCGGTGGAGGGTGTGCGCGACGTTCGAACGGCGAACGGGTAGACGACGCGGTACCGATGTTGCCGGGATGGCAACTCGCTCTCGAGTGACAAGACGATCGGCGAACGAACAAGTGGGCCCCGGAGCTGTGTGCGAGCGCCTCCACCACCGCAGCCGCCCCCACCCTTCGACCACCGCCGGTGCATCTGTGCCCGAACCCGAAGAGCTGTGTGTATACCACCGAGCGGCGACGGCTGCGTTCTATACCCCCGAAAATGTGCGAGACCCTTGGGGGAGGAAGTCCGAAATCGTGGAGTTAGGGAAAGGATGTGGTCGAGAACGTGTTCCGAAGGTAATCGCCGTACCAGTGGAATAAAGAGATTAGGCCACGTCGAGGTTCCCGTGTACCACGACAAATGTTCAAAGAAACGAATACGATTTAAAGCAAATTTTTTAATTGTCAGAACAACTTGGACAGTAATTTCGTTTGTACGAGAGGAAATGACTGACAATGCGCAGCGAGGGTAATAATTACGTTCGCCACTGTACGTCTTATTCCCACGATTTTATTAATACTACAGTTCCGACAAAAAAGGGATGTGCGCGCGACGAGTCGCGGACAACGAGTACAATAGCCTGCATTTAAATCGACTCCGCGCGGATGCTCCGGTTTTCGATGTCCCAACAGTCTCGCGTCTGAACGGTTCTTCGGTTTGAACTGTGATAAAATTATGACTCACGCGATCGGTTAAATATTTCCTCGGCGACGATGTAGATGAGAAATTCTGAAGTGGACAAAATCGGATAACATCGGACTAGCGTAAATAGATCAAAGTTCTTGTATACGATGGAGAGGAACGTTGCGATTCGTAGAAGCTAAAGAAAAGAAAGGGATGCCCTTTCATGACGCTTAGTTCACTTTTTAATTCGCAAATGGCTTCCACTTCGCTTTTGTTCCCTGAAGTCGACCCCGTCGTGTCAAGCGTGACGATTCCGAGAGGATGGCGAAGAAACGGGACCGCCGTGTAATTAAGTCTACTTCTTTACTGGGACTGTACGAGTATGTAAGTAAAGCCGGCTGGGGAACGGGTAATAAATCCAGCAATTGCCGTAAATTGGAGAACTCACTACGGTGGGGGAGAAGGAAGAGAGGGCGACGGATGAAAAAACCTTTACTTTGTCGCATCTCTAACAGTTTAAATACCGGATAATGTTCACTGAACGTCTAATGTAACGCATTTTTCATCGATTTCCGGGCTGCCCGAATGATTTACCTCAAAAGCGACGAGATTTATCTTCTTCAAATCATTTACAGTACCTCCAGAAAGTATTTGGATACCTTCTAAAATAACTATTATAATAACTTAACATAACTGTGTGTGTAATGTATATAACGTATATTACATATGTACAAGGAATAACTTTTTTAATATTGAGTCAAACGACATATTTTCTGTGGGATGCTAGACGATTTAGTTTACTATGTGATATGTAAAATAAATTTGTTAAAAATTGTTATTGGTCAGAATCGTAAAGAGAAAAGTAAACGTCGTATTTTTAACTTTTTTATTGGGGTCTCTAATAAGAAACGTTCCGTTTGTAATTTTAAGCAAGTTATGTGCACATATTAAGTTTCATGAAAATTTGTTAATGTTGCTATGAATTATGGAGGATTAAAAATTAAAAATAAAACAGATTCTTCATAAGGTGTAGTCTACGACTGAGATAAATTGAGGAATTTTTACATGTCCAAGTGTTTACACTGGAACGGGATGTTTCAAACTTTTATCAGAGGTAAAAGATTAAAAATTATGTCCTTTACTTTTTAATTCGCAATTCCGACGAACAGCAATTTTGTTTAATATTTTATACTTGACCTTTTAACATCCCAAGGAAAATTGAGGTAATTTGGTCGAATATTAAAACAGTTTTATTCCGTTTTAAAAGGTATAGAATACTTCCTGCAGCCACTGTATATACCGAATGAGGGAATATCTTCAACTTGCGAAGATGCTATCTCGTTCCTATACATACAGTCTTGCAACGACTATAAAGAAACGAGGGGAAACACGAGGGGATCGTAATAGACGAGCAGGTTATTACTCAACGGCGAAAGCAACCAGTAGAATCATCGATTATCGCGTTATCATTTTCAGCGGTGCTCAATAACGAGTTTCTATATGTATAATGAACGATCGTAATCAAAATTATAGACATAACTAAACTAACATTATTCTCTTCTATACTTACGTATAAAAATTCTAATTTCTTTGATCTCAGCTAACTTTAAATATACCTGCTTGTTATGAAACATGCAATTAGGTCGCTGTGAAAAATGATAGTAATGATCGTCACTGATCTAATCTGTCACAGGTGAAATCACTTGATGATAAGGCCAGTGTATTCCGTGAGGAATGTGCCTGTGTATAATGCAACTCATTCATTCACGCAGCATTCTTGTATGTACGATCATAGGGATTCGTGGATCATGCAGCTCGATCGTTTCAGCGAGCACTTATTAACGTGTGGGCGGTCGATCGTAGCGTGTGTTTGCACGCGAGAGTAACATTACCGTTCAGTACACTCAGGACTCTGTTGCCGCGAACATTATTTCATTTCGCAAACGATTTTTCGAAACAGTTTTATTGGAAGATTCGATCAACAACAGTGTGGCCCCAAACGTTCTTCATTTGGAGGGACATCGTCGTGGAGTTATCGTTCGATGGTACGTAATTACTCGTGCAACTGGTCGAGAATCATTTAAATAAATAC